TTTGGAAAAAGTTGTAAAGTTCTTGCAACTTTCTCCTTGAATCCTTCGAGATTCTCATCAATGAGCTCGTTTGGGAAGAGGAGCTTCAGGTTGGGACAAGATTTGGGCTTCCTTGTATCTTTTTTAGCTTCAGCTTCATGTTCCATCTTGGATGATCCTTTGGGCGGGTTTGGTTTAGGTGCCTTAGTATTACTCCTTGCTTGAGTGGCAAGTTGCTTGGGCAAAAGAATGGAATCTTCCTTGATTGAATCATCAGCTGCTTCTCCTTTAGGTGGCTCTAGGGTAGCTTTCTCATCTTGAACCATGTCAACAAAAGAGTTTCTTGTTGAACACATAGGAAAAAACATATCTTTGTTCACCTTGTTGAAAGAAATCCTTTGATTTGGGAAATCAAATATGGCGCCCACAGTAGACAGGAAAGGGGTACTAAATATGAGAGGTCTATGGCTACTTTCTCTCATCTCCACGATTTGAAAGTCAGTAGATATAGAGCAATTTCCGATTTGCACCATCACATCAGGTACAAAACCATAAAGGGGTTTGTGAAAATGAATCAGCATAGTGATGCAGGTTTAGATTACCTCAAATTTTCACAATTTTTAAACCCAACTAGTTGAGCTCCAAGTGCACAGATGTGTTGTAGTCGGGGTTGATCACAAGGAGGAAGTGCTCTCTCTTTACACCTTATGAGATTGAGATGTAGCTAACTCGCAATATGGGATGAGTTTGGACCTAAAATAAAAAAAGAAGACAAAAGAAAAATGTGAGTGAGGTTGTTAACAAGTTAAAACAAGAGTTAGGAAAAGGATAATCATATGGAGTAATGATGAAAAGATAGTTGCATGGGATGTGTGTAGAGCTGTCTTGAACATGAATCACTAGTGTATGGTCTTTCCACTGTCGTGGCTCCAACCACTATGTTTAAAACAACCTAATATACTCAGCTTTCGTTGGCTATTAGTATTGCAAACATGCATTAAAGGTGATCAAGATTCAATTGTTCACAATGAACCATAACTCAACTTTTGTTGGCCATGACTCATTGCTCACCAAATACTAGTTTTGAGGTCTAGATTCAACACTGTTGTGATTCTATTTCTCTAAGATCAGATTACTAGACGTACGGTAAAGTAATCATGCATTAAGTTCAAGTAAAGGTGAAGATCCTTAAGATAAATCCCAATAAGTTGCAACATAATCAAATCATCACGGCCACCATAGATCTCCTCGGTCTAACTAAGAGATCTACTCGGCCATGATGCAAACAAACAAGCAAAGCATGATTGAAAGCATTATGCAAAAATTGTTGCTTCCCTTTGACTCCTTTGACCTTAAACCCTAGTTTACTTTCCTATAAAAGGCAAAGAGCCACGAATTAATCACAACTTTTGCTTAATTTTGTAATTTTCCTTTCTTCTTTTAGCTTTTAAACGGTCTAAATCCAAGGGAGGAACATCAAATGGCCCTAATTTCGGAACCCGAAGAGGTAAGGAGTCCGAAATGTACCTCTGTGACTCCACATTGTGGAAACTCACTTGTAGTGTATAAGATGAACTAGATGGACCCATACTTACCCAAACATGGATTAATAGGTTCTACACATGACTATGAGGACAAACATGAGTGAAACGGTCTCAATCCAAGGGAGGAACATCAAATGGACCTAATTTGGGAACCGGAAGAGGTAAGGAGTCCGAAATGTACCTTGTGACTCCAGATTGAGGAAACTCACTTGTAGTGTATAAGATGAACTAGATGGACCCATACTTACCCAAACATGGATTAATAGGTTCTACACATGACTATGAGGACAAACATGAGTGAAACGGTCTCAATCCAAGGGAGGAACATCAAATGGACCAATTTGGGAACCGGAAGAGGTAAGGAGTCCGAAATGTACCTCTGTGACTCCACATTGTGGAAACTCACTTGTAGTGTATAAGATGAACTAGATGGACCCATACTTACCCAAACATGGATTAATAGGTTCTACACATGACTATGAGGACAAACATGAGTGAAACGGTCTCAATCCAAGGGAGGAACATCAAATGGACCTAATTTGGGAACCGGAAGAGGTAAGGAGTCCGAAATGTACCTCTGTGACTCCACATTGTGGAAACTCACTTGTAGTGTATAAGATGAACTAGATGGACCCATACTTACCCAAACATGGATTAATAGGTTCTACACATGACTATGAGGACAAACATGAGTGAAACGGTCTCAATCCAAGGGAGGAACATCAAATGGACCTAATTTGGGAACCGGAAGAGGTAAGGAGTCCGAAATGTACCTCTGTGACTCCACATTGTGGAAACTCACTTGTAGTGTATAAGATGAACTAGATGGACCCATACTTACCCAAACATGGATTAATAGGTTCTACACATGACTATGAGGACAAACATGAGTGAAACGGTCTCAATCCAAGGGAGGAACATCAAATGGACCAATTTGGGAACCGGAAGAGGTAAGGAGTCCGAAATGTACCTCTGTGACTCCACATTGTGGAAACTCACTTGTAGTGTATAAGATGAACTAGATGGACCCATACTTACCCAAACATGGATTAATAGGTTCTACACATGACTATGAGGACAAACATGAGTGAAACGGTCTCAATCCAAGGGAGGAACATCAAATGGACCAAATTTGGGAACCGGAAGAGGTAAGGAGTCCGAAATGTACCTCTGTGACTCCACATTGTGGAAACTCACTTGTAGTGTATAAGATGAACTAGATGGACCCATACTTACCCAAACATGGATTAATAGGTTCTACACATGACTATGAGGACAAACATGAGTGAAACGGTCTCAATCCAAGGGAGGAACATCAAATGGACCTAATTTGGGAACCGGAAGAGGTAAGGAGTCCGAAATGTACCTCTGTGACTCCACATTGTGGAAACTCACTTGTAGTGTATAAGATAAGATGACCCATACTTACCCAAACATGGATTAATAGGTTCTACACATGACTATGAGGACAAACATGAGTGAAACGGTCTCAATCCAAGGGAGGAACATCAAATGGACCTAATTTGGGAACCGGAAGAGGTAAGGAGTCCGAAATGTACCTCTGTGACTCCACATTGAGAAACTCACTTGTAGTGTATAAGATGAACTAGATGGACCCATACTTACCCAAACATGGATTAATAGGTTCTACACATGACTATGAGGACAAACATGAGTGAAACGGTCTCAATCCAAGGGAGGAACATCAAATGGACCAATTTGGGAACCGGAAGAGGTAAGGAGTCCGAAATGTACCTCTGTGACTCCACATTGTGGAAACTCACTTGTAGTGTATAAGATGAACTAGATGGACCCATACTTACCCAAACATGGATTAATAGGTTCTACACATGACTATGAGGACAAACATGAGTGAAACGGTCTCAATCCAAGGGAGGAACATCAAATGGACCTAATTTGGGAACCGGAAGAGGTAAGGAGTCCGAAATGTACCTCTGTGACTCCACATTGTGGAAACTCACTTGTAGTGTATAAGATGAACTAGATGGACCCATACTTACCCAAACATGGATTAATAGGTTCTACACATGACTATGAGGACAAACATGAGTGAAACGGTCTCAATCCAAGGGAGGAACATCAAATGGACCAAATTTGGGAACCGGAAGAGGTAAGGAGTCCGAAATGTACCTCTGTGACCTCCACATTGTGGAAACTCACTTGTAGTGTATAAGATGAACTAGATGGACCCATACTTACCCAAACATGGATTAATAGGTTCTACCATGACTATGAGGACAAACATGAGTGAAACGGTCTCAATCCAAGGGAGGAACATCAAATGGACCAAATTTGGGAACGATAAGAGGTAAGGAGTCCGAAATGTACCTATGTGCCTACATTGTCGGAACTCACTTGTAGTGTATAAGATGAACTAGATGGACCCATACTTACCCAAACATGGATATTAGGTTCTATACATGACTATGAGGACAAACATGAGTGAAACGGTCTCAATCGAAGGGAGGAACATCAAATGGACAAAATTTAGGAACCGGAGGAGGTAATGAGTCTGAAATGTACCTATGTGCCTCCACATTGTAGGAACTCACTTATAGTGTTTAAATGGAACTAGATGGACCCATACTTCCCTAAACATGGATTCATAAGTTCTCCACATTACTATGAGGACAATCATAAGTGAAACGGTTTCAATCCATGGGAGAAACATCAAATGGACCAAATTTGGGAACCATAAGAGGTAAGGAGTCCGAAATGTACCTCTGTGCCTCCACATTGTCGGATCTCACTTGTAGTGTATAAGATGAACTAGATGGACCCATACTTACCCAAACATGGATTATTAGGTTATATACATTACTATGAGGACAAACATGAGTGAAACGGTCTCAATGGAAGGGAGAAACATCAAATGGACCAAATTTAGGAACCGGAAGAGGTAATAAGTCTGAAATGTACCTGGCGCAGCGTAAGAAACGGATTTGTAGCTCGATCAAGGATTCTTTCAAATTCTTGAGACCTACTCTTGCTCAATCAAGTGAATTCAAAGAACTCTCTTGAGACCAAGCTTCCTGTATTGATGAATTGAATCAAATCAAGACAAGGATCAGAGCAATAACTCTTTTATTAATAAACTTCAAAAACTGAATGTGAGAAGAGGAATTACATCGACTTAAATAAGAAAGCATCAAGGTCGGTCACAAACGACTTTCCTTTCTAAAGAATAAGAAACACGATTGTTAAAAAGAAATATGCTAAAACAGAGCAAAGGAAAAGAAGCGACTAGACTCAAGACCAAAACCAATAATAACCGGTTGCTTGTGAAGAAAGACATTAAGATGCTACATCAGGACTCCCGGGGTTAGAAAGATTCGTCCCTGAATCTGGAGTAGTGATTGGTGAATGGTAACGAGACAAGTACTTGACATTGAAGACATCAGAAGTGCGAACATCAGAGGGAAGGCGAAGACGATAAGCATTATCGTTGATACGCTCCAAAACTTCAAGAGGACCAATTTTTTTTGCTTTCAGTTTGTTATATGCATGAGCAGGCATACGATCTCGGGTTAAGACAGCCCAAACGAAGTCTCCCACTTCAAACACCAAACGTCTACGATGAGTATCAGCGGCAGATTTATACTTAGCGGTGGAAATGGCAAGATTCTCTTTGACTTTTTCATGAGTCTCAAGGACATTTTCCATGAAAGTTTCAGCGTCGCCATGAAGTCTAGTGCGATCAGGTAGAGTAGATAAATCGACTGGACCACGAGGAGAAAAGCCGTAGATAACTTGGAAAGGACTGTAGCCTGAACTGCGATTGACGGCATGATTATGTGCAAACTCTGCTTGTGGAAGCTTAGAATCCCAACTCTTGATGGAATCACCAACTAAACAGCGCAAAAGGTTACCTAAAGATCGATTAGTAACCTCGGTTTGGCCATCGGTTTGAGGATGGTAGGCAGAACTCATGTCGAGGCTAGTGTCAAGAAGGTTCCATAACGAACGCCAAAAGTGGCCCAAGAAACGTGAATCACGGTCGGAGACTATTGAAGCAGGCAGTCCATGTAAGCGATAAATTTCACGAAAAAACAGAGTCGCCACTTGAACCGCATCAGTGGTCCGTTTGCAGGGAATAAAGTGTACCATTTTAGAGAACCTATCAACCACGACAAAGATGGAGTCAAAGCCTTTTTGAGTACGCGGAAGACCCATCACAAAGTCCATGCTGATATCCGTCCAAGGCTGAGTCGGAATAGGTAGAGGAAGATACAATCCTGCGTTTGATGCTTGTCCTTTGGATGTTTGACAAATGACACATCGTTCAACGAATCTCTCTACGTCACGTCGCAAAGAAGGCCAGAAATAAGATGAAGAGACCAAAAGTAACGTTCTATCGCGTCCAACGTGTCCTTCATTGTGAAGCTCAGAGATTAGTTTCAATCAAGGGGAGAAATATTAAATAGACCTAATCTGGGAACCAAGAGGTAAGGAGTCCGAAATGTACCTCTGTGCCTCCACATTGTGGAAACTCACTTGTAGTGTATAAGATGAACTAGATGGACCCATACTTACCCAAACATGGATTAATAGGTTCTACACATGACTATGAGGACAAACATGAGTGAAACGGTCTCAATCCAAGGGAGGAACATCAAATGGACCAAATTTGGGAACCGGAAGAGGTAAGGAGTCCGAAATGTACCTCTGTGACTCCACATTGTGGAAACTCACTTGTAGTGTATAAGATGAACTAGATGGACCCATACTTACCCAAACATGGATTAATAGGTTCTCCACATGACTATGAGGACAAACATGAGTGAAACGGTCTCAATCCAAGGGAGGAACATCAAATGGACCAAATTTGGGAACCGGAAGAGGTAAGGAGTCCGAAATGTACCTCTGTGACTCCACATTGTGGAAACTCACTTGTAGTGTATAAGATGAACTAGATGGACCCATACTTACCCAAACATGGATTAATAGGTTCTACACATGACTATGAGGACAAACATGAGTGAAACGGTCTCAATCCAAGGGAGGAACATCAAATGGACCAAATTTGGGAACCGGAAGAGGTAAGGAGTCCGAAATGTACCTCTGTGCCTCCACATTGTGGAAACTCACTTGTAGTGTATAAGATGAACTAGATGGACCCATACTTACCCAAACATGGATTAATAGGTTCTACACATGACTATGAGGACAAACATGAGTGAAACGGTCTCAATCCAAGGGAGGAACATCAAATGGACCAAATTTGGGAACCGGAAGAGGTAAGGAGTCCGAAATGTACCTCTGTGCCTCCACATTGTGGAAACTCACTTGTAGTGTATAAGATGAACTAGATGGACCCATACTTACCCAAACATGGATTAATAGGTTCTACACATGACTATGAGGACAAACATGAGTGAAACGGTCTCAATCCAAGGGAGGAACATCAAATGGACCAAATTTGGGAACCGGAAGAGGTAAGGAGTCCGAAATGTACCTCTGTGCCTCCACATTGTGGAAACTCACTTGTAGTGTATAAGATGAACTAGATGGACCCATACTTACCCAAACATGGATTAATAGGTTCTACACATGACTATGAGGACAAACATGAGTGAAACGGTCTCAATCCAAGGGAGGAACATCAAATGGACCAAATTTGGGAACCGGAAGAGGTAAGGAGTCCGAAATGTACCTCTGTGCCTCCACATTGTGGAAACTCACTTGTAGTGTATAAGATGAACTAGATGGACCCATACTTACCCAAACATGGATTAATAGGTTCTACACATGACTATGAGGACAAACATGAGTGAAACGGTCTCAATCCAAGGGAGGAACATCAAATGGACCAAATTTGGGAACCGGAAGAGGTAAGGAGTCCGAAATGTACCTCTGTGCCTCCACATTGTGGAAACTCACTTGTAGTGTATAAGATGAACTAGATGGACCCATACTTACCCAAACATGGATTAATAGGTTCTACACATGACTATGAGGACAAACATGAGTGAAACGGTCTCAATCCAAGGGAGGAACATCAAATGGACCAAATTTGGGAACCGGAAGAGGTAAGGAGTCCGAAATGTACCTCTGTGCCTCCACATTGTGGAAACTCACTTGTAGTGTATAAGATGAACTAGATGGACCCATACTTACCCAAACATGGATTAATAGGTTCTACACATGACTATGAGGACAAACATGAGTGAAACGGTCTCAATCCAAGGGAGGAACATCAAATGGACCAAATTTGGGAACCGGAAGAGGTAAGGAGTCCGAAATGTACCTCTGTGCCTCCACATTGTGGAAACTCACTTGTAGTGTATAAGATGAACTAGATGGACCCATACTTACCCAAACATGGATTAATAGGTTCTACACATGACTATGAGGACAAACATGAGTGAAACGGTCTCAATCCAAGGGAGGAACATCAAATGGACCAAATTTGGGAACCGGAAGAGGTAAGGAGTCCGAAATGTACCTCTGTGCCTCCACATTGTGGAAACTCACTTGTAGTGTATAAGATGAACTAGATGGACCCATACTTACCCAAACATGGATTAATAGGTTCTACACATGACTATGAGGACAAACATGAGTGAAACGGTCTCAATCCAAGGGAGGAACATCAAATGGACCAAATTTGGGAACCGGAAGAGGTAAGGAGTCCGAAATGTACCTCTGTGCCTCCACATTGTGGAAACTCACTTGTAGTGTATAAGATGAACTAGATGGACCCATACTTACCCAAACATGGATTAATAGGTTCTACACATGACTATGAGGACAAACATGAGTGAAACGGTCTCAATCCAAGGGAGGAACATCAAATGGACCAAATTTGGGAACCGGAAGAGGTAAGGAGTCCGAAATGTACCTCTGTGCCTCCACATTGTGGAAACTCACTTGTAGTGTATAAGATGAACTAGATGGACCCATACTTACCCAAACATGGATTAATAGGTTCTACACATGACTATGAGGACAAACATGAGTGAAACGGTCTCAATCCAAGGGAGGAACATCAAATGGACCAAATTTGGGAACCGGAAGAGGTAAGGAGTCCGAAATGTACCTCTGTGACTCCACATTGTGGAAACTCACTTGTAGTGTATAAGATGAACTAGATGGACCCATACTTACCCAAACATGGATTAATAGGTTCTACACATGACTATGAGGACAAACATGAGTGAAACGGTCTCAATCCAAGGGAGGAACATCAAATGGACCAAATTTGGGAACCGGAAGAGGTAAGGAGTCCGAAATGTACCTCTGTGCCTCCACATTGTGGAAACTCACTTGTAGTGTATAAGATGAACTAGATGGACCCATACTTACCCAAACATGGATTAATAGGTTCTACACATGACTATGAGGACAAACATGAGTGAAACGGTCTCAATCCAAGGGAGGAACATCAAATGGACCAAATTTGGGAACCGGAAGAGGTAAGGAGTCCGAAATGTACCTCTGTGCCTCCACATTGTGGAAACTCACTTGTAGTGTATAAGATGAACTAGATGGACCCATACTTACCCAAACATGGATTAATAGGTTCTACACATGACTATGAGGACAAACATGAGTGAAACGGTCTCAATCCAAGGGAGGAACATCAAATGGACCAAATTTGGGAACCGGAAGAGGTAAGGAGTCCGAAATGTACCTCTGTGCCTCCACATTGTGGAAACTCACTTGTAGTGTATAAGATGAACTAGATGGACCCATACTTACCCAAACATGGATTAATAGGTTCTACACATGACTATGAGGACAAACATGAGTGAAACGGTCTCAATCCAAGGGAGGAACATCAAATGGACCAAATTTGGGAACCGGAAGAGGTAAGGAGTCCGAAATGTACCTCTGTGCCTCCACATTGTGGAAACTCACTTGTAGTGTATAAGATGAACTAGATGGACCCATACTTACCCAAACATGGATTAATAGGTTCTACACATGACTATGAGGACAAACATGAGTGAAACGGTCTCAATCCAAGGGAGGAACATCAAATGGACCAAATTTGGGAACCGGAAGAGGTAAGGAGTCCGAAATGTACCTCTGTGCCTCCACATTGTGGAAACTCACTTGTAGTGTATAAGATGAACTAGATGGACCCATACTTACCCAAACATGGATTAATAGGTTCTACACATGACTATGAGGACAAACATGAGTGAAACGGTCTCAATCCAAGGGAGGAACATCAAATGGACCAAATTTGGGAACCGGAAGAGGTAAGGAGTCCGAAATGTACCTCTGTGCCTCCACATTGTGGAAACTCACTTGTAGTGTATAAGATGAACTAGATGGACCCATACTTACCCAAACATGGATTATAGGTTCTACACATGACTATGAGGACAAACATGAGTGAAACGGTCTCAATCCAAGGGAGGAACATCAAATGGACCAAATTTGGGAACCGGAAGAGGTAAGGAGTCCGAAATGTACCTCTGTGCCTCCACATTGTGGAAACTCACTTGTAGTGTATAAGATGAACTAGATGGACCCATACTTACCCAAACATGGATTAATAGGTTCTACACATGACTATGAGGACAAACATGAGTGAAACGGTCTCAATCCAAGGGAGGAACATCAAATGGACCAAATTTGGGAACCGGAAGAGGTAAGGAGTCCGAAATGTACCTCTGTGCCTCCACATTGTGGAAACTCACTTGTAGTGTATAAGATGAACTAGATGGACCCATACTTACCCAAACATGGATTAATAGGTTCTACACATGACTATGAGGACAAACATGAGTGAAACGGTCTCAATCCAAGGGAGGAACATCAAATGGACCAAATTTGGGAACCGGAAGAGGTAAGGAGTCCGAAATGTACCTCTGTGCCTCCACATTGTGGAAACTCACTTGTAGTGTATAAGATGAACTAGATGGACCCATACTTACCCAAACATGGATTAATAGGTTCTACACATGACTATGAGGACAAACATGAGTGAAACGGTCTCAATCCAAGGGAGGAACATCAAATGGACCAAATTTGGGAACCGGAAGAGGTAAGGAGTCCGAAATGTACCTCTGTGCCTCCACATTGTGGAAACTCACTTGTAGTGTATAAGATGAACTAGATGGACCCATACTTACCCAAACATGGATTAATAGGTTCTACACATGACTATGAGGACAAACATGAGTGAAACGGTCTCAATCCAAGGGAGGAACATCAAATGGACCAAATTTGGGAACCGGAAGAGGTAAGGAGTCCGAAATGTACCTCTGTGCCTCCACATTGTGGAAACTCACTTGTAGTGTATAAGATGAACTAGATGGACCCATACTTACCCAAACATGGATTAATAGGTTCTACACATGACTATGAGGACAAACATGAGTGAAACGGTCTCAATCCAAGGGAGGAACATCAAATGGACCAAATTTGGGAACCGGAAGAGGTAAGGAGTCCGAAATGTACCTCTGTGACTCCACATTGTGGAAACTCACTTGTAGTGTATAAGATGAACTAGATGGACCCATACTTA